GGATCAGCTAACGTAAATCAAAGATCTATGGATGGAGAACGTGACACAGAAATTGCAATAGGATGTTATCAATCAAGAAACGAAGAACCAAGCATTTGTCATGGTGACATTCATGCATACCGAATGTCATTATGGTTCGAACACACTGGTAAAGCCGGTGGAGAGTTCCTAGAGCCTGAGAGTTTGGAATGCGTGAAGAAGGTTTGTTCCATTGGAGAGAAAATGTGGAAAATTTACAGTTCAGATGATGTAATAGATATGAGAGGAATCCACTTGGTAAGCTACCCTGTCAACATAACAAGAGATGGTCTTGTGGAGGATCTTATGTGTATTAATGGTCATTTTCCGGACACTGAAGCGCTAGTCAAAGGGAAAAGATCCAAATTCCTTAGTCCTATGATAACTACCTAAGGGAAATGTGGCATTTAAATGTAGTTTCTCTTTATTATCAACACTTCAAAGAGATAAGAATGACTAGATTTCACTGATTTATGCATGTAGTTATATTAACCCTAGTTATATTGTACTGCAATCTGATTGTTTATGTGAATATTGTGTATGATCATTAATAAATAAATTGAATTTCATGAGCTTTTTAATTAGCACCCCCAAACTAAAAATGGTACTAGGGTATATGCTTAAGGTTTACCAAAAATTATACTCCATATATAATAATTATATTCCCTCAAGTGTAAAACATTGTAAAAAATCGTAAATAGGAATCGTATATGTTTAATATTTCTAAAATACGAGCTCTGTATCCATATTATATTTATAACACTCAAAATCTCTAGTTAATGTGGATAGTGAGTCAGGTACAATTCGCCTTCACATTTCTTTTGCTTTTCCCGTCACACAATTCAAGATTTTGTTTGTTTTCATGTTGGCAATTTTATTCTCCTCCTCCCATATATTAATTCTCCTCTATTTTTTGACTAGTTTTTATCCTTTTTATTGTTTTCTGTCAATGTTTTTTTATTTTTAGATTACATCTTTTCTCACTATTTTATACTCCCTCCGTCCCATTAAATTCTTCAACTTTCCTTTTTGGGTCGTCCCATAAAATTCTTCCAACTTACCTTTTTGAAAAAAATGTGTGGCTCACATTTATTTACATTTTTCTTACACAACTTCAACTATATATTTCCACTTTATTCTCACTTCCTTAATTTGCGAACCAAGTTTGACTTGGAAGAATTTATTGGGACGGAGGGAGTACCGGAGTAATTGAGAATTCCATGACTTCTATTCCTTTTTACACGTAAATATCATTAGTTTTGGACATTATTTTTATCCAGATGACAATACTACTTTTCCGAAAGCACAATATTAACAATGCCATGATTATTACTTGAAAATGGTGATTTCTCATTTTCCGGATTTTCTTCTCATTTTTTACATCTCGGTCTCAAAATGTCGTGGTTTTTTATTGGAAAAACTATCAAATAAGCCCTGTTTACTGTATAAAAACAGCGATTAAGTTCTTGTACTTCGAAATCACCCGATCAACCTCATGAAGTTATAAAAATGCTCAAATCAGCTCTTTAGAAGAACACCTTCCAATTTCCCGGTTAACAACTTAGTTTATTTTAAAAGAAAAATTGTTAACAACTTAGTTGGATGTCTACGTGCCAAGTTTTTTAATTCTTTTATTTTTTAATAGTAAATCAATTCATCTATTCCACCAAATACAAGGAGTCATATTCATCTATATTTTCTTCTTTCCATTTCCTCTTTCCATTTCTTTTTTTTGTATGACTCTCTCATAAAATCAATCTCTCTTCTAAAAATAAATGATTAAATCTCATCTTTTATTTTTCCCTACCCCACCATTTCTTCATTTCTCACTATCTCCCTACTAGAAAATTGCGGTCACCGGAGAGGAGCCAAATTCAATAGAGACATACCCTTCCCATTTTTATCCCTTCCCCAGGCGATGGAGGGCGAAGTAGAGATGTGGGCGACGACAAAGAATAATGATAATAATGGATCAATAAATATGAATTAATAATGATTTTATTAATATGAATTAAGTTTGTTTCCTTCAAAAATATGTTACTATCAAAATGGCTTTCTTGTTTGTCAGTTTTTCTTTTACTGTATTTTTTATCATCAATGAGTCATACTTAAGGAGAATGGAGGTTACATATACTAATTATTTATTAACTCGACAGTTACTATATATTTATTATGCATGGTTTGCTTGACTGCCTCAAGCTAATTTTACAGTGATGAAAACCCATAGCCTTAGGAATCTTATTTTCAAATAGAAAAGAGGAAGAAGAAAGAAACAAAATGAAGCTAAGGTTTTACATCAAGTTACCAGAGGCATGTCTCATAGCTGTTGTCCTGTCAAGCTTCCTGGTGGGATTCCATATCGGTTCGTCCCTTCAAAGAGCAAAAAAGGTCACCTTTTTGGACAAAGATGATTAATTAAATTTGTTCAATCACACTAATATATTGATTAAATCAGTCAAACTTCATTTTGTTAATTACCAGGTTGATATCTTGAAAGTTGTAGCCATATCAGAACTCAACTCAACATGTTCACCAGAAGATCTCAGAGCAGATACCATCTCTAAAGTAACATATCACATATTGATTAATTATGATTATGTATTACCATTTATATTCTAAGGACAGGCCAATATTGATAATTTCTTATCTTTTCAGTTAACGAACTTTGCTTACAATTCTCTCCCAGAATGAAAATTACATTTTGACTTTTTCTATCTTCGATATCTATGTTTGATCATTGTTATATACAATGATATATTAACAATAAGCTCGGTCAAGATAGTTTTAACATTATAAAATAACAATACAATTCATAAGAACTTAATAGTCAAATTGAATAGGATTTGACTAGAAGGTCAAGTTGTAACTTTCGTTTTGAGGTGGGGGAAGTACATGGCTATGTTGGACTCAAGCCCAGGTCATCCTGATATTCTCATAATCTTTGTAGTGTTAATCATCATCACCATCATCATCATCATTACCCCAGTGCCGCAAAGGCTCCCACCTATGATGGGGTAAGGGGGTGTTGGATGTACGCAGTCTTACCCCTATAGACTGTAGTAAAGCACAAATAGACTGTTTTCGGATCACCCATAGTGAAAATCGCGTCCAAAATTGTTAGCATTTAAGTCTAGCATAATTATTCTTTAGCCCGACCCAAACTAAAATTCTATGTCCACCCCGAAGAAGGACCATATATATAAATGTTTTTTTAATATAAGATGACTTGTTATCATTATAACTATGTTGGTAGATATTCGTTGCAACAAATCCCCGTGGTGCAGAAAGGTTGCCACCAGGCATTATCCACACTTATTCCGGTTTCAATATCAATGGTGAAAGTTTGCCTAAATACTTGCTCACAGTAACGGTTGGCATAGAACAGAAAGAATTGGTTAACAAGATTGTCTCTAAGGTTTGTGTAAATTAATGTCGGGTAAATCATGTATTTGTTATAATAAAGTGTGTTCCTAAATGACCTGAGTCTTATAGCATGTTATAGTTTTCAGAGGAATTTGCAGTAGTGTTGTTCCATTATGATGGGAGGGCAAGCGAATGGGACGAGGAGTTCGAATGGTCAAAACGTGCCATTCATGTCACTGCCAAGAAACAAACCAAATGGTAACACATTCTTATAATATAAACAGTTTTCTAACCAAGAAACAAACCAAATGGTAACATATTCTTAAATATAAACAGTTTCCTAAGCAAATGTACTATTTTACTCTTACATTGAAACAAAAGAACACACGACCACATATAATTAACTGTGTCCCCTTCTCACAAGGAAATTAACTGCCTAAAGCTCTGTTACGTTGCAAAAAGCATGGGACATTAATATTGGGAAGGAGTATTGGTTATTCTCTGTCCTTGAGATTATATGTATTTCTATTGAGTTATGAAATTGTAATTTTTCTAATATTTTTGAGTGCAGGTGGTATGCAAAACGCTTTCTCCACCCTAACATTGTAGCCCAGTATGAGTACATCTTCATATGGGATGAAGATCTAGGCGTGGAACACTTCAACGCAGATGAGTAAGAGGATATCATTAAATATACTCCTGTCAAGAAATGCATATCTAGAATCCATTGCCAGTTTCACAATTAAACTAACAGTTTCTAGCCCTGCAAATGTTGTGATGCGTGCTTAATTAGGTACATTAAGCTTGTCAAAAAATATGGATTAGAGATCTCACAGCCCGGGATTGTATCCCGAAAAGGCTTGACATGGCAAATGACTATGAAGCAGCATGATATCGAAGTGCATAGGTAAATAATCGGGTTCAATCTCTTTGTGCCTATGTTAACACAAGAGTAATGAGAATCATTCATGTGGTTTCCATCATTTTTATTATATACTAAGTTTGAATGGTCGAGGCAAATGTATGTATGTTACTCCCTCAACTGCAATTTATTTGTATCACTTAGTTATTCCATATAACTTGTCTCACTTCTTTTTGAAAATAGACCTATACAATAAAGTTCTATGTGTCTATTAAATAACTCCACACACGACTACTCGAGATTAAAAAAAAGCTATCACATCTACAAACACTTTCTTTATTTGCATGAAAAACACTGGGATGGCCGGATGGGTAAATTGGAACTGATATAGTATATTGTTTGACTATAAATCATCTTAACCCAAACAAAAGTTAGAACAAAAGTAACCCAACTTAGATGGAACAAATATTATCCAGCATGTTATTAAGATACCCTCTTATCTACTTTATTTTCTCCCAGCTGAAATCTTTGCATTGCATTGTTGCAGGAGGGTGAACGAAACACATAGTGGACAGTGTCCTTACCCAGACTTACCTCCCTGTGCAGGGTATTCATATCTTGTGAAATCATTCAAAATAAATTTAACACTCAAACAATAATGTGCTTAGCTCAACGGAAAAAGTATATTAGCATGTGACAATTGTCTAATACTACGTACTTATTAAGGAGTTTATTCATTCATAATTCTACATGTTTAGTCGATATGAGACATTATTACACACCCTCTCATGGTAAAGCACCTCTCTATATTATATATTAAAAAAAAGGTCGACAACCCCCTCACAACAGGACACTTCTGAATAATCCGTACACTAACTTATGGTCATGGGTCATACAAAACTCTAACTAGGTTTGTGGAGATCATGGCACCTGTATTCTCTCGAGAATCATGGCGATGCGTTTGGAGCTTGATTCAGGTATACATTTTATGATCACCCAAAAAGGATATTTCTCTGGTTTTGGAGAGGTTCTTTGATATATATACCATACTGTTTCAGAATGATTTGGTACACGGATGGGGTCTGGATTTTGCATTGTGGAGATGTGTGGAAGTAAGGCCACCATAAATACTTGTGTTTCCTTTTTCCTGTGAATTCTTGAACTCTTCTTGATCCATCATCTTTTGCATTTTATTTGCAGAAGGCACATGAGAAGATTGGAGTTGTGGATGCTCAATGGATTGAGCATTTGGTACTGCCCTCACTTGGAAGCCAGGGAGAGTCCATCGATGGAAAGCAACCATGGGAAGGGGTAAGCATGCATGAAACAGTGCAAAAAAATTGGACCACCTATAGCTCTGTTTTTATCCTATCCATTATTTTCTAGCTGGGTCTAACATTTCTTGGCATGAAAATTAAAATTGACCTGAAACTGTACCCAATTAGTAGTGTTAGTATATTTCTTTTCTTTTTGCCAACATATTCCTTAGTTATGTTACTTATGTCAAACTGGTAGAAATGTGGTCCTCGGATTAAGATACCTTCATCATATACTTCGTATTTATCAATCAAATCTTCAAGAATGTGCATTATTATACTACGTATAGAAAAAAACCACTCATACTTGCTAATCATATTAATTTTGAAATCATAAGCACAAAACTGAAAAAACAATTTTTGCTAGTGTTAAAATTTTGGATTTCATTAATAAATCAAAAACGGAAACCGCCCTTAACCTTATCCAACTCATATCATGTGAGCCTAAAGAAAAAAGAAACCGAAGAGTCATCAAATCAAGAAATAATTACAAACATATTACTAAAGTAAAAGTCGAGACAAAATTTGGCCTTCATAATGCATAGCTACCATATTTCATTAGTGCGGTGGGTTTGGAGTGACCAATTAGTTATATTTTTATCCTAAAGTATCAATTAGTAAGATTTTAATTATAAAAAAAAACTCAAATCAAAGGCCTAAAAGCAGTGATCTGACATTAAGTAATTAGGGAGTATTATTATATGCCATATCATTTTCCCTTCCCTATTTTACAGGTTCATGTGTGCATTTGACACTGATAGGCGATAGCCAAACATTGTACGGAATATTTAAAAAAAAAAAGTGTGGTGTTTTATTAGGTACGGGCAAGGTGCTTCAAGGAATGGAAAGAATTTGAAATCAGAATGAATAAAGCAGAAAAGAACCACTCGAAATGGAGCTCACATTAACAATCTCATCATCTGTGTCACATGCCACTGGTGAGAATGCAGAGATAGGCTAGTAAGCTTCAACATGGTTTTTGTTCCAAATAGTCATGCCCCCCCCCCCCCCCCCCCCCCCAGTTTGTTACCTGAGCCATAAACAACAAATGGTACCCATTGGGCCATAACCATAAACGAGACCCATCAAATGTTGGTTCAGCTCCATTTCCTATATATTAGGATATAGAGCAGACAGTTCGAGTCCTGGTTTTGGAAACCAATGGTGTTATCCCTTTTTCTCAAAATCCCATCCAGAACTGTTGGGAGCCGGACTGAAATCAGAAAACAAGACCAGTTCAAGGTAAGGTTCCACCAACTAAGGAGTGGAACCAAAACTTGACATTAGCTAAGCATCCCAATAAGAAAAGAGGATGTTAACATTGATATAGAGGGACAAAGGGGTTCCTTTCATGCTACCCATAAGCTTAGGAGCCATCTAAAACCACCCACACACAAATGAGTATGTGAAGAAGTATAATCAGATGGCCGCACAAAATAATCCTGGTAGAAGGAATATTGAAATCTAGAAAGTAATATTGAAAAACTATTGCACAACCACATCACACAAAAAGCACACATTGAAAAGGAGAAACCAAATCCCACCCGGTAACTTTCAAACTTTATCAAATGAATTGAGTTGTTTCTATTTGACAGTTAGAGGTTGGGGATAGACTTGGCTCGAATGAACTGTTTAAGAATGGCCTTATCCTCATCGATGCGTCTTTTCTCTTCAGGGTCTTTTGGCTTCAGCTTCCTCTTCTCTTCCAGCATCCACTTCAATATATCGCGCTTATCTTTTTCAGATATTGGTTCCCTAACAGGCTGCAGTGCAGGTGGAATAACTAGTTTATCAGCAATTGTAGCAGATTCAGTAGCAGTCACCACCGAAGGGATAGGTGTCTCTTGAATTTCAATGGCTGTGGTGTCTTTCTTTTTTGTCCTCATGTAAAGGTAGCCTATGAATGAATTTCATGAATTCAAGCCATTTTTCCATGAAACAAAGAAAGAAAATCAAACGTTAAAGGTTGAGTCACCTCGCAGGAAATTGTGAAAGGATACTACAATAGGCTTAAGGAAATTGTGAAGACACATCCATAAACAGTATGGTACAACAACTAATACTGTTATAAGACAAAAGCCAGTATGTATGAAAACAAGAGGGTCTGTGAATGAAAATCATGCACTATATTTCAGGCAACTCCTACATAAGATGATTTCCCCTAATCCTGTGCATCTTCCTGTACTGCGGATATTAAAATTCTAATGAGAAGTAATATTACTATAGCAAATAAGTATCTGATTACAAATATTCCAGAACTTCAATTTCCTGATAGCTTCCAGTATTAAGTAGAAGGTGATCATGGACCTCCAAATTACAGGATAAATGTTTGTATGATCTTGACACGCTTAAGTGCTTAACAATAACAATTACAAGGCAGCAGAATCAAGAGTAAATATAACGGCCAGTTGATCACTCACCACTCTTCCTATCAAAGTTAACAGAAAACGATTGCAATTCAATTCGACTAATTAATAGTGAACAATGGCAGAGTAGTTTGACTAGAAGCACTAGTCCGTCGGTATCCTCAAAGCTTTCGGAATAGTCCGTACAGTTAACTTTATCAGCCTGGCCATACGCAGAAAATTTTACGGAGTATAGGACACACACACACGGAGAAAGAGAGAGAGAAGAACCTCCAATAGCGAGATTGACAGCCAAAAGCATTGGGAAGATGAACCTGTAACGCCGAAGGAAAGGTTCCTTTGCAGGCGGAGGAGGTGGCGCATGATTAGCCGCCGTAGGATTTGACGAAGTCATTGACGGCGAAACTGATGGCGGTGAAGGCGTCTGCGGAGAAGATGCGTGTTGCTTCAGTTGAGCTGTCATACGTAGACGTAAGTATAAAGCAAAGGATCAATCATCGCAGAAGCGATTGCTTAATTTGGATTGAACGAATTATATACTCTACATTTTACAGCGTAGTAATAAATAATACAGGAACATTTACATTTCTTGGGCTTATTCATGTAGAGCTTCGAACCATTATCCATTGTTGTTTCTTACAGCTCGCGCTTGGAAGAGAAATCGCTCTTTACTCTGCTTAAAACAAACTGGCCATTAGAGAATGGAGATCGTCCACCACTGCTTTCACTTCTTCAGCTGCTTTTCTGAATTCTGACGCAGACACGCAATGACGGAGGCTCTAAACGATGTCGTTGTCAGGCTCTTTTTTAGTTCCACTGTGCGGGGCTTGGTGACTGATCACTCGGCCCATCAAAGTAACAAAAAAGTTTGTGTAACTCGACCCATAAAAAATAAATACAGAATTTTTATTACTCCCTCCGTCCCATAATTATCTTCATTCTTTCCTTTTTGGTCTGTCCCAAATTTATCTCCTCTTTCCTTTTTTTAGCAAAGGATTTGTGGTTCACAACCATTCTTACACATTTCTCTCTCCTCTGCACAACTTTCCACCACACATTTCCCACTTTCTTAATCTCCGTGCCCAGTCAAAACCGAAGTTAATTCTGGGACGGAGGGAGTAACAAATACTCGGTGCATGTCAAATATCTATACTACCTAGTTGTATTATGATGACATCACTAATACCCTATCAAAGAGAAATCGTGTTCGACTTCCATCCCTGCTGACATTGAAATTTATCATGAGATAGATTTTACAATAATTTGGCATCACATTAAAAAAAAAACATGCGTGGAATTATTGATAAACTTATTATACCAGAGAAGGATTCAAAAGACATAATAAGTTAAAGAAGCTCCGAGAAATATGAGGCGGAAGAAAGCGGTGAGTTCATATGGCAAATCGATTGAGGCTCGGAGAAATTTGGGAAAAGGTGTTTGACTGGTTAACACACTTTTTTAATAAGGTTTAGAAAAACAACAAAATATCAGCGAATTGGAGAAAGAATATTGTGATCCCTTATTGAGCAAAACCTTCGAAGAAGTGTGAAGATTTCAAAGAATCGATTTCATACTCGGTCGCTCAACAATGGAGGTCATTCACCTTGTGAGGGAACAAGTGAAGAAGTATACAGACACTAATAAAGATCAACATTTGGTGCTCATTGACATAGAAAATGCATATGATATGGTACATCGAGAAGTCCTTTAGTAGGCCTCAATTAGGAAAGACATCACGTAAGTATATCAGTCACATCCATATGGATATGTATGGGGATTGTACTATAATTGTCCGTACTAGTGTAAGGAACTAAGGATGATTGCAGAGTTTCATATTACTATCGAAGTACATCAAAAATCGGATTTGGGTTTTCTCTTATTTGTTATAGTCATGGATGAACTTAGAAAGTGAGTTCAAGAAGATATATTGTGGTGCATGATGTTTGCCAATGATATTGTATTGATTGGTGTGACACAATCGGTGCTAAAACCTGCCTTTCCATCTCTTTCGACACTAAAGGGTAAATTATATCGGATCTTCAAGATGTGAATGGACATAACAGAAAAGACCGTTTGAGAAATGAGAAAATCATATATAAGATAGGAGCAATGTCTATTGAAAATACGATATGAGAGTCTCGGTTGCACTGAATTGGTCATGTGTGTAGAAGACCAACTGATGCACCGGTTAAACGAGTTGAGAGGCGGAGGCAGATGTGGAGTAGAGGAGTTCAAGAGTGAAAGCTTTTTCTTGAGTTAAATGAAGGTATAACTTCGGATGGAGCAGAGTGGAGTAGTGCTGGACTCGGGCCGGGCGGCCCGGCCCGGAACCGGCCCGGTTACTGTTTGGCCCGGCCCGGCCCGGGGCCCGGTGGGTCCACCGGTTCGGTTCGGCCCGGCCCGGATGCTGGGCGGTTCGGGCCCGGGCCCAGGTTTTGGTGAACCGGCCCGGCCGGTTCGGGCCCGGTCCGGGCCGGATTTTAATTTTTTTTTTTTTTTTGAAATTTTTTTAAGTTTTAGGTTGGATTAGGTATTTTGGGCCATTTGAGGTGGTTTGGGATGGTTTGGGGTTAAGGGGGAGGGGTAGGGGATTAAATAGGAGAACAAAAAAAAAAAAAAATTGGGCCGGTTCGGCCCGGCCCGGCCCGGTTTGGCCCGGAACCGGGACCGGAACCGGCCACCGGCGGTTCGGGCTCGGGCCTCCCTTTCCTGGCCCGAGGCCCGGCCGGGCCCAGGCCCGAACCGGGCCCGAACCGGCCCGAGTCCAGCACTAGAGTGGAGGAAGAATATTCATACGGGGGATTGATTTCTTCTCACCTTTTTATCTTTTTATTTTATACTCCGTATTTTGGGGGATAATTTTGATATATTTTTTGTAAAAATCGGAGCGTGAATAAAAAGACATAGCACTTTAAAGAAAAAGAGATATTCTTTACGTTAGTTCCACGGGGTGCTTAACTGCTTATAGCCTTATACCCTCCTTTCTCCCGGGTGGTGCTAGCTATCTTCGTAGTTTTCTAACACGGATTCCCTAAGTCACCAAATCAATTGGCGATTTTGTAAACCGTCTTCGTTTGGCGGTTTTTATTAGCCACAGTTCAATTGAGCCTATTTTCGTAAATAATTTTTTATTTCACATTATTTTGAAGGGAAAAAAAACGCTTCCATTCTTCAAGGTTGTTACTCTGAAATTTTAATAAAAGTATCATGTCTCTTTAGTGATATGCTCATATGTTCCATTAATTTCGCGGTTTATGAAATTGCCAAATATGTTCAACATGGTCTTGAAGAGGATCGGCGATGGTGCTTCAACGGTATAGTTTGAAATCTACTGGTGCTCCAATGGTGAAGTAGAATGGCAACATAGTTGGAACTTGGAAGAGGTATATCCGTATATGGAATAATGGAAAGATGGTATTGAAGATCACAAGATGAGTATTGAGAAAGAGATTTGGTGAAGTAGAATGGCAACATATTTGGAAGTTGAGGATGTTTTATGAAATTTGCTGGTCTGATCTGGTAAACATCTGGTCTCTGAGTATTTTATGACTACAGAAGTCTGGTCTGATCTGGTGTAATCTGGTCTGGGATTGAAAACAATGCAAAAGAAAACATCCTCATTCTTAAGGAGAACCAAC